TTGTAGCTTTTATGATGAAAATCTCAATTTTCAGATTTAAGGCCTTGTGCGTCCCACTATCTTTATTTTATTTCTGGCAAATTGAAACACTTGCTAGTCAAGAATAATCAATCGTATCATCCCCATGTAATAAAAACCGCATGAAAATCGGCGGTTAACCGCGGTTTTACCGGTCCGGTTATCGGCTCTCATTACCGCAGAACGGATAAGTACTGCGGTTTACCGCAAAAATTGATCCAGTATTCGCAACATGGGTCAATTTCAGTTAATTTTCCACTCATTTAGAGCCAATTCTACCCCGATTTCAGACCAATTCCATATCGATTCTAACCAATGCCAACCAATTTTATGAATTGAGTTGACCCGAATTGGAATTGTTGCACCCCTACTTGCTAAGAAGTCGGTACCCTAGTCAATCGTTCAAATATGAAAATGTAGATTATACAAACAGAATTAGTTCATTACACATAGGGGAGTATAGATTTATGAATCAAAAAACTTAGAACCATATACAAAATATACGGTACGATGGAAATTGGCATATGGAAAAATAGTTTTCGGATTTCTGTGGCACTCCAGTTAGGATGATCCATTGATGTGCAGACGAAACTGGTGTATCATATGATAAATCTCCGGCAAAGTTGTAATGACTACTTGATTATATTATAATCAGGTTGAAACTAGTTAAGAGTAGCGACATCCAGCAGAAAACAACACATTTTTGCAGAGATCTCCTATAAAATTTCAACACATTTGTGTCAAAATATTATTCGTTTCTCTCCTCTCCAATAAAGATAATTTGTGTTCATCTTAACTTTTTCAGCAGTAGACAAAAACTCGATCGGTGAGATAAATGTTCATTTCAAGCGGAAAAGTGTCGTTCAGGTCAAAAATGAATTTTTTCCGTTCTGTCTATAACTGAAGACAAGCTATACAAGTACAAGTCAGCGTGTGTATACTAAATTTCTATCAAATACTTTTGTCGTCACTGTTCAGAAAAGATATCCGTGCATATACAACATACCCGATGCTATACACAACTTTACAAACACCAAATATGAGTAGTTTTCATTTTCATTTTCATTTTCGTTCTTTACATTTCTTCTTTCCCAACGATTATTTGAAAACAAACTTTTACCAGGTCTTCGTCATTCATCACGGGTCATCACAAAACTCTGAAAGATTTCCCTCATATCGTAAATGATTTTCGACACCACATCCTCATACAGATTTACCGATCTTTCTTTTAACTAAAGTAAATTATAACCTAACCGACTAAACTTTCCAGCATCATTTCTCACTTATCGCGAAAAAATGTAAGTTCATTTCAATTACATACAAAAACATTTTTCTTCTGAAAGGAAAATGATATTTCATTTATCAGCTGCCAACTCATTTTTCTGCTAGCGAATATACATGGCACAGTTAACATGAGAATTTCAGTTGAGATTGGAATGCCCAAAAACAATAATTAATCGAAAAAATATATTTTCCTTTTTCTTTACTGCTAGTGATAATACATTATAGAAAGCACAATAGAAAAGAAATATTTCTCAAATAAATTCGATGACACCATG